ACATGCATCATAATGTGTGACTTTTCTGTGGATAATGTGTTGGGGGGGTGGGCGGCAGAAAATTAATCTTAGAGTCTATCTAACTTGTTATATTTTATACATTCACGGTAAAATGCTTTTCACTAACAAATCTTTAATATATGTAGAAATTATCCAAACATAAATGTAATGGTTAAAGAGCTTCTGAAAAAATGAGGCCATTATATTGTAATTAAAATGTTTTGTCAGAATAATTTATTCCAAATAAACTGGTTTATATTACTGAACTAGCAATCTGGTCAATTTTAAGAACTGAGATGTAAATAGGCTTGGCACTGGAACGCTCTACCCCAATATCTACCTACCTTCCCCAAACTAAGTATGTTTTCTCAAAGTTGGGAAAATAACACACAAGAGCTTATCCATAGATAGTTGATAAGTCTTCCTGAGGGAGTGAAGACAACTCCCTGCCATCAAGCCGATATGGACTCTTGACCGAATAAGACAGTACAGAATGGCCTGAGTTTCTGAGACTGCAAATCCTCTCTTTACAGGAGTAGAAAGGCTCATTTTTCTCCTGCTGAGCATCTCTGGTGGTTTCAAACTGCTGACTTTACAGTTAGCAGCCTAACTTGCCACCAGTGCTCCTGTCCTGAGGAAACAGTAGGGAAGCAGACTTTCATGTACTCTTCCCAAGTTACTGTGTGACCAACACTCACCAAGCCACTTCACTCTTCGGAGAAAACTCTTATTCCCATCACAGCTGCTACCATCACCCAGACATTGATAATTCTAGTATCACATCACTAGAATACTGCCACTAGGGAAATACCTCCCACAACTCTAGAAACGTTGTCAATACGTTCTCGAACATTCTCCCTCCTGCCCCATTATTCTAAAGCTGCTGGCATCCAGGAATCATTTATCCAGCAATGTGCCAGGTTATTTGGGAGACACCAGTACACAAAACAAAGACCGCCACCCCCATAGTTGCTTGCTAGCAGGAGAAGGCAGACCATCAATACATGATACAGAAACCATGCTGTAAGCTGCTGCCGCCCAGTCGTCTTCCTCCTTGTGAGCCCAGCACAGCTCCGCGGGGTTTTTAAGGCTGATTTTCTGAGATGCCTCACCAGCGGTTCTCAACCTGCGGACTGCGACCCCTGTGGGGGTCTAAAAACCCTTTCACAGGGGTCACCCGATGCATAACAGTGGCAAAATTAGTTATGAAGTAGCAATGAAAATAATTTTATGGTTGGGGGGTCACCACATGAGGAACTGTATTAAATGGTCATGGCATTAGGAAGTTGAGAACCACTGGTTTAGACTGTCTACCTTCTAATAGTTGAACACTCAACAATTGGTTACGTGTTGGGCTGCTAACCACACAACTGTGGAAACTCCAGCTGCTCCTGTGAAGTTACCGTCTCAGAAAGCCACCGGCAGTTTTACCCTGTCCTATAGGGTCACGATGAGTCAGAATCAACGTGATGGCAGTGAGTTTGATTTGGGGGCGGATTCTGGAAAAGGAGCCTAAAGTGGTATACATTGGTAAAGCATCAAAAGGCTGGCAGTTTGAAACCACCACTCACTCCATGGGAGAAAGATGTGACCAACTGATTCCAGAGTTACAGTCTTCAGAACTGTATGAGATTCGACTCTCACAGGGCCACTCTAAGTCAGAATTAACTTTGCTAGCAACTATTTGGGGTTTAAGGGTATGGGTATTAGATGGTAGGTCCAGGCTGAGGGCCACAATGAACAAAACCAAACTCTTACCACCAAGTAGATGCCAACTCATTGCAACCCTGTAAGATAGAAAAAAACTGCCCCCTTTGAGCTTCTGAGACTTTCTATCTTTACAAGGGCAGGCAGTTGGAGCAAAAGGTCAAACCACTCAACTGTTAGCAGCTCAATGTGCAGCCTACATGCCACAGGGCTTCTTCTATTGAGAAAGGGATCACTTAAATATTGACTTAACGCAATTATTATTGAATGAAAATGAATTTGTTCTGTCAATTATTACCCAAATCATAATTTAAAAAAGACTTGAAGGTGAGATAGCTACACAACTCAGCTCTGGGAAGAATCTTCCAGAGGACAACACAACGGCTTTAAGGCTGTGAGTGGCAGAGACCAAACAAACAGCTGGAGATCAGGGGCTCCATATTTACAAAGTACCAAAATTACTTTAGATACCCAGAAAAATACAAATACTGTGTAAAAACCACTTTCATAGGTGGCAACTTACAAAACCAAAGTATCTTATGGCCCACAATCTCATGGATAACTCTATTTCTTAGCCTACAGATATTCTTAAATTTTTAATTTCAAAACTAGTTTATTTTCTTAAAAGGGAATCACTTCATTACTGGTTTTAAGAATCAGTATTTTGTCAAACGAGAAGATTAAAAAATAAAATTAAAAAAGCAAGATATAGAAATCATAGTTCTGAAATGTTAGCTGTTTAACCAACATCCACATTTCAAAGCAAATGCAACGATCTGACTGCAGCAGAGATGCGATTTCTGTTCACTGCGCAAACAGTATCCCTCAGATCCTAAGCTGAACAAACACAAGGTTATCAAAAGTAAATCTTTAAAACAACTAATACTTTTCTTGTGCCCGTTTTTCCAGTCTTTTTAATAAAAGTTAAAGTGCTTGTTTTCAAGTAGAACACGGGGGAGGGGAATGCAGTGGTGGTGGTAGGGTGAAAGCTCAAGGAGTCCATGTAGAAAAAGAATGTGTGGAAACTGGTAGCAATTCTACTTCACGTCTGAACTACGGAATGATTATTAAATCTCAATCTAAAAAAACCGCTTGTTCTGTGCGTTAGTACATTCAGCTTTTTGCATGTTAGCTTGTGTGCAAAGGTGACAGTTGAGAGAAACAGCCCCTGCCTGGGAGCTGCCTTCGCAGGGGTCCTGTTCTCAAACAGAGCAGGGTTTATGAAACCAATTCCTGGCAGTTCCATAGAACCAAGCATCATCTCTGATGGGCAACTCTATGTGGAATAGAGGGTTTTCTTGGATTATATTTGTTAAAAAGACTTCCAAGGAAAGCATGACCTTGGAGGGGTAAAAAGGCAGGTTAATTTCCTTGGAGGATGTCTGACAGGTAGCTCAGGCCATGCTTCTGACCCACATCAATAGATCAGTGTAGCTCCAGTGACGGGGGGGGGGGGGGGGGGGGGGGGGCGCGCACAGAAAACATGGGAAGTGGTAAAGATGATCTTTTAAACTGCAGGATTCTGAATGTCTACCAGTCTGTGGAAAGAAGTGATCAGCCAAGAAGCGTACTCAAGACCCAAATTCACTCATGGAGACAATTCTGACGCCTAACGAGTCTACAGGAAGCACTAATTGCCCATTTCTAACTACCAGAGCTGCACATCTTCACAGTAGAAATCCTCACCTTTTCCTGAGGAGTCCCTGACCAGTTTGAACTGCAGAACTGTGGTTACCAACCTACTTCCCTCCCCAGGGTTCCAGAGAATTGCAACATAGGGTTAATTATTTTACTTCTACATTATGGTAAATTTTAACCTCATCAAAGTAGGAAAAGAATCCACCATCTAGCTCTAATTATCAACAAAACGCCTCACCGCCACTGAGTGGATGCTGATTCATGGTGACCACATACGATAGGGTAGTACTGCCCCTGTGGGCTTCTGAAACCCGTAATTCTTTTCCAAACTGCTGACCTGGCAGCAACTCTTCTGCCACCATTCGTAAGGAGCAATACATATAAAGTAAATCTTGTTTCCCACAGAACCCCATCCCAAGTATTTCGCAACTTTTTCATTGTTCCCATTAACTTATCAAATCGAACATTTATAACATCAAATCATTGAATTTGAATCAAAATTCTATGCAAAATCCACATATAGCAACAGGCTTGCTTTTAGTCTAATCAAACCATGCAGGAAAGATCCTGCCATTTCCTAACGAATGGTACAAAATATGTAAGATGAAATCAAAGTTGAATTTCTTCATCACAGAATGATACTATCAATGCTAGACATTAGCAAGCCTGTTACTTTGGGGGGCCCTAGAAGGCGCCAGTGAACTCAAAGGTCAGCAGTTCAAAACTACCAGCTGCTCTGAGGGAGTCTTGAGAACCTTTAAGTGCCGTTCATTCTATCCCACCCTCAGCAACCAACTGATGGTAGTGAATTTTGTTTTGATGGCACAGTAAAGCTAAAGGTCGGATCCCACAAGCTGCTTCAAGAAGGATGTGTGGTCAATTGAAGATCCCAGGCTGGAATACTATAGGGACAGGCAGTTCTAATGTCCTGAAGGGTGGCAATCAGTCATAACCTAGGTTTTGTTGGTTTTTTTCTGGGGGGGGCGGGGGGGGGGTACTGCATTAGGGACAGTGTTACAAACCAGTAAATACCACACAAGTGCTGAACAAAAATTTGCTCAACAAATACACTTGAGAGTAACATTTTAAATGGAACAGATATTTAGTGGCAACTGGATGAGGTATATACTAGGCTGAGGCATTTAAAGAACACGGGGAATTTAGGAAGGCTTTTCAGAATGGAAGGGATTGACAGGCTGGGCACACGAGATTGAGGGCAATGGATAACAACCATTTGTCATTCACACAAAATAACTGCACACTGGGTTCTACTTCACAAGCATTTTCCAAAAAATTACTGGCAGACAAGTGACTCAAGCATCCCTAAACTCACCAAATACTCTAGTTCTTGTTTTAGTAAAAGTAGACAGGCACCTTAAGGATCTCCTCAAAATTCTACTTCCAATGATATATAGCCACACCCCTTCTCAGCTCACACTTCCTTCCATCAATAAACCAAAATAACAAATACAATGGCCATTCTCCCATTACATATTCTAGAAAGTACAGTAAATCTCACCATGCATTTTGGGGTGTTTTTTTTTACCACTCTTATCACATGATTTTGCTTCTGAACTGTTGCCCTCCAATTGGTTGAGAAGCAGTTTGAGGACTAAAAACCTAGTACACACAACTTTTAAAAATAAAGACTCAAATTCATTACATAAACTTTATTGGATTGGATCAAAGCATCACAGAAAGTCTAAAGGAATCATCTAGACTGTAGCTGGACACCTGTGGGAATAAGGGAAAAGTGTCTGTAAATCTCAGTCATCCAATAACCTTTGCCCAGAACAGCTTGAAAACATCTGTACCTTATTTTATACGTTGTACTGAATCATAACTGGTTAACAGTAAGCCATACAAAGAAAAATAGTAAAAATACTAATCCACAAAGAAAACCCCCCTCATACCAACTCTGAGTCAATTGAAGCATATCAAACCTATAGACATGCTATAAATCTATGGGTGCAGACTGAAAGCTCCTCTCTCCCATGGATAAGCTGGTGAAGCAGCACTATCACCCTACCACCAGGGCTTCTTGGTAAAGTAAGGTCTTTAACAGTCAATTCCACCTCATTTCTACGCTCCAGAATGCAACTCTGTGCTCTGGAAATACTACAAATCCGGTCTCAACGAGCAAACTGAGACCCCCAGCCACAGCAGCAACAGAGCTTACTGTGGACACACAGGAACCTACCTCTTACAGCTTACTCGTCAGCCTGCTGAACTGTTCCTTTTTCAGAAACATAGATGCCATCCAGAAACTTTCGGATATCCTTGTTTTTAACTGTTGTGGCTTGCTGAATTAAAGCAGCTAGAGAAGGAAAAAGTTAAAGTCAACAACAAAATTTCAAAAATCCCCCAACCCCTGCCCCCCCCCAAATCTCAAAAATGTTATGCTTAAAGCCTCAGAGTATCTTTAAGACAGCCTTTTATTTTTCACAATGAGACCAATAAAATGAAAAGAACACCCTATATTCAACTACAAGATTCAGGCAAAATTACATGGGCATATTTAACTAACCTTTCATAGTAAACATACCAACCTGAATTTGATACAAGCTCAATGTCGTTTCCTTCAAGAACTAACTCATCTTTCTGGGCTTGAGAAAGGGAACAGGCAACACCTGAAAACAGGGAGGGCATGTGCATAGTATCAGCAACACAAAGACAAGAACCCCACCCCCCAAAGATTCTTTGTATTTATCTATCCCATTAAAAATTAACAGTATCGAATCTGACTGATCTGGGCCAAAATCTTTTATGGGTATATGAGTTTAATTTAGCTGTATAGACATATGTTCCAAGTCTTAAACAAAACCAACCACAAGGACTACACCTTCTCTCCACCCTTCATACTCCAAGGTAATCAAAGACACTTCACTATGCTAGAGACCAACATTTTGCAGCTTGAAACGCATCTACAGATGAGCAAAATGAGGTTGATTTGTCCAAAATGATAATGATACCAGAACCTAGACAGTTTACCCTATCACCTTTCAAGCAACATTTTAAAGATTTGTTAAATCTCAAAGTCCTCTATGGTTTTGTTTATTTAATAAGCGTTTAACCAATCTTGATTTACTTTTAAATCCTAAACCAAGCCCACTACAATTACGCCAAATCTGACTACATACAACATGTAACACAATGTAGGATTGCTGTGACTGCAAATCTTTACGCGAGCAAACACAGCTTCATTTCTCTCTCCTAAGGAGAGGTTAGTGGATTTGAACTGGCGAAATTAGTTATGGCAGCCCCACCAGGGCAAACCAAAATACCAATCTTGACAAGTATTTGGGGGGGGGGGGGTGTCCTCTGAATTATATCTGGGGCATACACATACCTGTCCTCATGCGAACCCTCCGGATGTATTTTTCACCCAAGAAATTACGGATTTCCACAAGAGACCCATTCTCCTGAATAACCACGTTAATGGGGAAGTGGGCATACACAGACCTCATCTTGTATCGGAAGCCC